CATGTGTGACAAATGGTTATAACCAGGGGTGGGATTCTACAGGTTCGCACCTATTCACTAGAACCGGTTGTTAACATTCTAAGCAGTTCGGAGAACCGGTTTGTTAGAAGAAATTACAGGGCTAATCCTGTAAGGAAGGCAGGAAGGAAACATTCTGGTGTTGCTTACAGAAACTGCCTCTCCGTTAACCCGTATTAAATTCTTGGCAGGACTAGACTGCCTGTCTCTGGAACTTCTCTGGAGTTTTTCCCCCCTCTTTTGTTGGTACTTTGCTTGTGTGGAGTGACCATTCAAAGTTACAATGGCACTGAAAAAAGTGACTTACAACCATTTTTCACACTTACGACTATTGCATCATTCCCACAGTCATGAGAGGCCAGACGAGGAGATCCATGCCTCGATGTGAGTAATGTTGAGTTGGCCATGCCCAGCCAGTCACAGGACCACCGAGCCACGCCCACCACCTAAGCCACGCCCACAGAACCGGTTGTTAAAAAAAATTGAATCCCACCCCTGGTTATAACTCACTTCTTTCAGGGCTGTTGTATGTTCAATCCGTCACTAAATAGCCTGCTATGAGTCTAGAACTACCTGTATTTCATGTTAATGGCACTTGTTGGGTTGAGCACATCCTACCTAAAGTTCTCCGGAACTCTTTTCAAGTCTGTAATTGTGATTTCTTTCAAGGTCAGTAAGAATTTTGGGAAACATAACGAAAGGAAGGAGCCTACACATGCCAACAAAGCATCGAGGTTGTCTTCTTTTGCATTCTCTTTGAGGGATGTTGTGTCCTTCACCAAAGGGGTTGTTCTGACTTTGCCTTCCTCAAAAAGCACTAAGCTGACTCTTTGTCCCGGCAAAACCCCTTTTATGAAATAAAGGTGAATTTCTTGTATCCACATTCAGCCAAAGGCCTGGCAAACAGTCTTTCAAGAGTGCGATTAAGGAGCACAGACCTTATCTAGCTTGGAGAGCTGCCAAGTAAATATTTACAAACACAGTGCTGACAAGGAAGGACTCGGCACAGAGTTTCTGAGATGCACAGGCAGATCTCCACACTGCTGCAACAAACCGATTGTTTCCTGCAGAAGCCCCCTCCCCTTTCGCTCCTCTTTTAATCCCTATGGGAGGGGCCACTGAGCATACACCTATAACCTTACTCCCATGTCAACCTTTAGTTCGTAATTGTTCTTTTCTTTTGGCAGCTCTGCGCATGTGCAGGCTGGGAACTGGCTCCAGCTGCTCCCCTGCCTCATTGCTATCCGACCCTGAAGGCAGCTGACCGCGGCCAGACGGCCCTGGGCCCAGCTCTGCCTCCAACGCAGAGCCCTCGTCCGAGCCTTCCTCGGGCTCCAGAACTGGCCCATGTTCCTCCCCAACCTCCTCACTGTCCGACTCTGCTGCCAGCTCCAACAGCTGCCGGCGGACCACAACAGGGGTTGGCTGACCAGAAATCTAGGAGAGAAGTCCTACACCTGATCTGTCCTGGTCATCCCTGGAGAGCCGATTGGCAAATGAATTGGAAGAACGGGTGGCCAAGTAGGAGTGACTGGGCTCTTCAGTTGGCAGCATCAGCTGGTGGCAGAGGTGGGGATGAATGAACAAGAAGCTGCCTGACACTTGGACCATGAGTCTGTCTAATTGATTGGTAGCATCAACGGGGGATTTCTGGATGAGGGACAGGGACAAGGAGGGAGAGAGGGGGAGGAGGAGGAGGAGGAGAAAGAAAAAGAGAAGGAGAGCGGGAAGGAGAAGGAGCAGGAGGGAAGGAAGGAAGGAGCAGGAGAAAGAAAAAGAGAAGGAGAAGGGAGGGAGGGAAGGAGGAGAAAGAAGGAAGAGGAGGAAGGGAGGGAAGGAAAGCGAAAGAAAAAGAAGGAGAAGGGAGGGAAGGAAGAAGGAGAAGGGAGGGAAGAAAGGAAGGGGAAGGAGAAAGAATAAGAGAAAGATAAGGAGGGGAGAAAGAAAAGGGAAGAAGGAGAAAGAGAAGAAAAAGGAAAATGAGGAGGAGGAAGAGAAGGAGAAGGGAGGAAAGAAGGGGAAGGAGAAAGAATAAGAGAAGGAGGCAGAATAAGAGGAAGGAAGGAAGGAAGGAAGGAAGGAAGGAAGGGAGGGAGGGAGGGAGGGAGGGAGGGAGGAAGGATCTTTTCTGATGTAGCTACAGATGTCAAATATTGACATGTGACATTTTTGCCCTACCTGCTCTGAAAACCAGGAAGAGCTGGCAGTCAAGACAACATCTGAGTTCTGATTCTGCACTTTTCCTGTGAGTAGGTACGGAAAGGAGGAGAATTATATCAAATGTGCTCATTTTACCAAGCGTTAGACCTCTGGGCAGGCACCACACATCCTCTTCCTTTGTTCTTAGGGGGCTTAAACATTAGGGGAAAGCCACTACAAAGAAAACTGCTTCTCCTTTGCCACGCAACCAAGGTGTGTGTGCGAGAGAGACGCAACTGAGTAAGAAAGACGGCCTCTCTTTCCGCAGGGCACTTTCCCCGGCTTCACTGCGCTTGAGAAGCGAATTCTCATTGGAGGATTAGACTTTCAAATTAATAGGCTTCAGGGCAACTGTGCGACAAAGACCAACTACCGAAATCTTGTCAGGTATTTATAATACCTTTTCCAACCCATTTTTTCCCCCATTTGCATTGAATTGTGGCTGCTGTCGCCCTGGGCTTTTCCTTTGTGGGGCTCCCAGTCGTTCCCTGGACGAAACTGGCTTTCCTGGACCATTGGACGGGGATTTGGGTCAAACCATGATGACATCACAGGGGTCAAGATGCCATTTTGCAAAGGACATCGATGCTATAAGCTCCTCAAACTGTAAACTATGATTATTTTTCTGTTTCTACACTGGAGACAAATTCCTTGTGCGTCTAATCACACCTATATTCTGTTCTATTGTATTGTATTCTGTTCTGTCTTTCTATTCTGTTCTGTTCTGTTTTTTCTATTCTGTTCTGTTATATCGTTCTGTTCTGCTCTATTCTGTTTTTCTGTTCTGTTCTATTGTTTTGTTCTTTTTTGGGTTGGTTCGGACATATTCTGTTTTTGTTTTCTATTCAGTTCTGTTTTGGTCTATTTTGTTTTTCTATTTTGTTCTGTTCATTTTCTGTTCTGTTCTGTCCCTTCCAAGTATGCTATGTTATGCTATGCTATGCTATTATTCTATTATCCTATCCTATCTTATCCTATTCTATTCCTGTTCTGTTTTTATATTCTGTGTTGTTGTGTTCATTTTCTAATCTTTTCTATTGTATTTTATTCTGTTCTGTTCTATTCTACTCCACTCCACTCCACTCCATTCCACTTCAGTTTTAAAATAATTCTTATTTTATTTTTTATTTTTTATTTATTTATTTACTTTGTCAAGCGATGATAAGATAACAGGTATAAGTATAAACATAGTTATGAATACATGAAATGGATACATATAAGAAAAATAAGAAGAAACAATAGGACAGGGACGGTAGGCACATTGGTGCGCTTATGCATGCCCTCCATATTGTTTTTATTGCTATACAGATAGTCCTCAACTTACAACAGTTCATTTAGTGACCATCCAAAGTCACAGTGGCACTGAAAAAAGTGACATGACCATTTTTCATACTTATAACCATTGAACGTGAACAAAATTCAGAGACTTGGCAACTGACTCCTATTTCTAACAATTGCCATATCTTAGGGGTCATGTGATCCCCTTTTGCAACCTTCTGACCAGCCAAGCCAACCGGGGAAGCCAGATTCACTTAACGACTTCATTGCTAACTGAAGAACTTCAGCGTTTCACTTAACAACTGTGGCACGGAAGGTCGTAAAATGAGTCGAAACCCATTTAAGCAGTGGAAATTTGGGGCTCAATTGTTGTCCTTAAATCGAGGATTGCCTGTATTGTCAGCAGCCCTGGAAAAAAAACCTGGATGGTGGATATAATTTGCTTTATTTAGTCTGAACATACATAAAAAATAAGCCAAACGTAACAGGAAGATTGCGTTCTTCACATGAGATCTAGAATGCTGAACTTCTTGAAATTAAAACCTCAAAACCTATTCTGAACAAGGCTTCCTGAGACCATAATTAATCACATGCTTATTCCATCCAACCCTCTTTTTATTTCAACGGCTGGGAATTATGTTCATTCCCAGCCTGTAAGGAGTCCCAAACAGTCCCTCGAGATAAGCATCCACCTTTCTCTCCTTTGAATTGCTGCCAACAACTAAAGTGCCAAATGAACTGTAAAAAGCCAACCGAAATACAAAGTTCACTCAGAGCTTCAAGGTTTAATCCGAACAGAGCGAACGACTTTGCTTCCTGCAAAGGTTTCTCTACCTTTGTTCCTCCTTTATGTCTTATGGGAGGAGCCAATCACCTCCAAGCCTTACTCCTGAGTCACCCCTTTTGTCTTAACAGTTCTTGCCTTCTGGCAGCTCTGTGCAAGCGCGCACTGGAAACAGGCTCCCTCTGTTCCTCTGCCTCGCTGTTGTCAGATTCTGGAGGCTCCGGAGTCAGCACATAACTCTCAACTGGCCCTGGCCCCATCTCTCTGTCAGACGCAGGACCCTCGTCCGAGCCCTCCCCAGACTCCAGGACTGGCCCATGTTCCTCCCCACTGTCCGATTCTGCTGCTGTCTCTGCAGGCTGCCAGTGGACCACAAAAACCATCGTCTTCTGAAACTTCAGGGCTGAACATTGAACACCTGTACACAAACTGGGCTACGCACATTTCTCAATCCCATGCATATAAATGTTTCAGCAACGAGAAATATTTTTTTAAAAAGACACCTTTGCCATGATAAATGTGGCAAGGCAAGCCAGCCGTTAATTCTTGCAAGGCAAATTAAAAAAAATAAAATAAAATAAAAATCAGTTCATTTATCTTGAAATAAACACTCCGGGTAGCACGCCTTCAATTCCGCAAAAGGTTAATCTCTGTTAGGACCATTAATCCATTAATAAACCAGCTTTTTATTTCAAAAACTCAAATCCAAAGTTGTACCTACGTTTGCCTGAGATTCGTCATGGCCATTAGTCTCCAACTCCTTGGCATTTTTTTTTAACTGCGAAAGAGAGGGGGAGGAAAAAAAAAACCACAATCATGATTAGCAGCATTTCGCACACAGTTATTGTTGATTTATAATGACACAATGAACAAAATATATGGAGCGTAGGACTCTAATGAAGCTGTTTGCCGAAACCAGTTAGAAAGCAACCTAGTTAAGATCTGATAGGTTGGCTTTAAAAAATAATAATAATAATAATAATAAAATAAAAGAAAGCCGAGGCTCGTTATTTTATTTTTTAAAAAAAAAATAAGATTAGGAAGCCGACTCAAGGCATAAGAAGGTGCAAAATCTGTTTTCAAGAGTAATAAACGCTTTCATTTCCCATTTGGCTGCTATTAATTTGGAACTTTGCAAGCAATTGCAAAGTTGCTGGTAGCTAAATAGCAGGCAGCTCATAATTGCTTCTGAGTTATGAGTTTTTGGGCCATTTTTGATGGTTTTTTCTGTTCAGGAACCTATCAGGAAGATAAAGCAGCTCATTTGATGGCTTCAGTTGTTGAAACCCAAATGTCTTCTCCATGTTCAGGGTGGCTGCGGGCTATCCAGAAAAAAAAAAAAAAAAAAAAGAGAAATATTTTTGGGGGGGGGGGGGAATTAAATCAAATGCCAGTGATTGCATAAACATGTTTGAAATGCTGAGGAAAGGCTATGTGGTTGTGTTGGAGCAGAAAAGCACTCTCTGTTTTTTTTGGGGGGGGGGATGGAGCCATCCTACTGGAAAGTGTACAGCAAGAGATTAGCTTTGCAAGCATCATCATCTTCATTTTACTTCATCATCCCTTACGGCAGTGATCCCCAACCTTTTTTATGCCGCGGCCAGGTACCGGCATCAGCTGCGCGCCGCCATCTTTTTTTGATGAAAAAGTGCTTCCGGTGACCTCACCGGAAGCACTTTTTCATCAAAAAAGATGGCGGCGCCAGCGCTTCCGGTGAGCTTTTCCGGGTAGAAATGGCTTTCTACCCGGAAAAGCTCACCGGAAGCACTTTTTCATAAAAAAA